ATATTTGTGATTCTTCATTTTTTTTTAAAAAAAAAAAGTTTAAAAACGATTTTATATATAAGCTCAAAATATATACAAAATTTCTTGAAATTCTTTTCTTTCTCTACTTTCTATTAAGAAAAATAATTATTTTTTTCTTTCACTTATAAGTTTATTACACGAGTACCTATAGAAGATTTAGAACTTTTAAGTGATTATAAATAATAAATAATATATAAATTAAAATTCTTTTAAAGAAATAATTGAAGTGGAAGTATAATTTGTGTGTAAATTTTATTAGAAATATATAAACACAATTTATATAAAAAATTTTAAAATTGCGCATAGCGCAATTAAATTCACTAGTTTAATATATATTTAAATTAAAGATGCACTTGGAAAAATATTTTGATACAGAGTGTAATAAATAGAGAAAATACTCGAAAATGTTAGTGTTAGTTTAAGCGTATACATTAATGATCTATGTTTTTTTTTTTTAAACAGATGTTATCTCTCAACTTTAAATATTGAGAAAATTAATAAGCATCCCTAGAAAAATATTATTAAACGATTGTGAGGCTCTTGGCCAACGTCTACTGTATGCATAAAATATGTACATTATATATTTTTCTTTTGTCCAATTTTATATGTCATATTTTTATTTTGTATTTATATTAATAAATGATGTAATTTTATCATTTTATCTTTTGTTTAATTTTTTTGAAATAAGTTTTCTATTAATGAACATGACTCATTTATTTAGCTTTTTAAAGTTGATCAATTGTATAGTTCTAAGGCTAATAATTTACACAGATAAAAAAAGAAAAAATGTAATAATTTATGTATTTGATTTTGTGAAATAACAAGTATTATAAATTTACTATTTATAAAAATATATGACAGATAAAACGAGACAGTAAAATATATAATAAGATGTGAAAATTTTATAATAAAAACACATTATTCATTTTAAAAATCCAATTTTGTCAAGTCACCATCCAGTGGTGCTAAAAAGTAAAAACGTTGAAATGATACAACCCAATGTGTGACCCAAATTAATACAAGGCAATCGTTTTCGCTCACCATGTTTACTTAACATGTTCCTTTACGATGGAAGTTATGATACTTTTCTCATCTAATTGTTACGATTAGATTTAATTACACAATTTTAGTTATCATTATTGCTTATTTTGTGGGCCTTGAAAAGTTGTAATTATAAAATAATTAATTTGGGATGGAGAAATCGAAAGCACAAAAACAGTAGGTAGGTGCTCTCACAACAAGTAATGAACATGTTATCTGTGGCTCTCACAAATTTCCTTACTCCCACGTGGACAGAGTACTCGCCATTATAAAAGTTCGATTAATTTAGATTATATCATCAAAAGCTTAGTAATTCTCACCAGATGCCTATTTTTTGAAAATTTATTAACAGAATACGTGTAAATCTTCTCATTCATGTTTAGATAAGCGTCTCAAACTCTTGGAGGGAGATTTGATAAAAATTTAAAAGTATATCTCATTCATGTTATAAGATCAAAAATATATTGAAACACAATTTATCAATTAAAAAAATATTTTTAAAAAAGTCAATAATTTAGAAATAACACTAATAATTCATATACGAAATAGAGGATAAGTTAAAATAATGACACTGTCCCCAACTTAGAAAGTATACACGTTATGTGCCAATTATCTTTGCAATATTTTAAGAAATACAAATCTATTAACTTTTAAACACCATTATTCATGAATGTACCAAGAATTAAAAATATTAGACTCTCTTATTCCAATCCCCTCCCTCATTCATCTTGGATCAGTGAAAACATTTTTCCCCACCGGTAACTAACTAACTAACTACTTGGGAAGACATGTTATTGCTCTTTTGACCTGTGGAAAAAAACTAAACAAACCAATACCAACAGCAACAGATGCAACTGAACTTTTTAATTGATCACTTACATAATTTATTCACTTAAACATGATTTGGTTGGGATCAGGCGTGGAAAATAAACAAGTGATTTTGGGATCTGTTTGCATTGAGATTCACAAACAGCATTTGTCAGGATAGTTTAATACTGCACCAGAAATTTCTCACCTAAGTTGGTAACAGGTTGGGACTTAAATAATCAGCAAGCACGTGATATTCTTCACTCCCAGCAAATCAATCAATATATTGGAACAGCCAACAGTTGAGACACGTCCTATCTATCTATCTATACAACAAATGACAGCTACCTTCATTCTTCTCCAAGCTTTTTCTGTAAATAAATAATACTCCCATCAAGTCAGGTAATCTTCAGACAAGAAAGGAGACACAACATATACCTAACCATTTAGGTTGTATTTGGTTGACGTATTCTGTATTGATATTTTTCCCTCGGCTTGACTTGCGATAACTATAACCCCGCTTGAAGCCCAAAAATATTTATCAAAAAATGATCTAATCACTGTCGCCAGAATAATAATCATTGTTGCCTGTACTTTCTTCTCCGTCTTGGTTTTCAACTTCATGATCATCCGGATCATTACTGGAATGATCAAATGGTTCTCTTTCTGTAAGGAAGAACCCATCCTCAGAAGGCTTGTAGTTTTGACCCCTCCATACCACAATCTGCTCTTTATCGAATGTCACGAGTATACAAGGAACCAAATCCTGCCATTGACACAAGTTAACACACATAGTATTTAGCAGCATGACAATCACTGAACAATCATTGAACATTAATTAAATCGTAGTCTTAGTAGCATGCCGATCACCTTTATCATCCAAATGGATATCACAACATTATTCCAAACAGAGTAAGCTCTTCTAAGATGAGGTCTTCATTTCAAACAGAAAAAATGTGAACTGAAGGAAGAACTAGCTACTGCAGTTCTAGGAATATTAACCAACAATCCCCCCCACCCCCCCACCCCCGAGGCAAAGAGCTCTGAAAGTAAACAAGAAGAAGAGAAGATGACCATGATTGTTTCTTCTGCTTTTCTGTGATTTGGTAGTCTCACCCCTCCAAATCCTCATCCCCGGGGCCAAGAGTGATTTTCACCACTTTCTTCCTTGGTGATTCAGACTCCTAAAGGCTCAACCACCGCTTCTTTCTATGAGCATACAATAAAAGTGACTTTTGTTTATTCGAAATAAAGTGAAAACTTTCTGATAAATTCTTTCTCGGTTTATTTCATGATTGGAAAAGAATTTATCAATATTCAAGAACAAATGGTTGTGGTTTGGAGACTCAAGAATGGAGCTCCATGTGGATATTCGGTCCAAGAATCAAAACCCAATCTCTGTAGCAAGCTTCTACTTTTACCAGATCCATCATGCTTTGGACATTGCTGCCGCAATTGTTGGGGCCCAAAAACATTACTGTAATGCATACATCTCACTCTGACAAGTAAAAAAGAATCACTAATACAACACCAAGTCGGTGTTAAAAGAACTTGTTGTACTTAAAATTACAGAAACTGCATCTCTTCTCGTAAATCATAGTACTCCTCATAAAGATACAAGAAGCAATATGGCCATTACTAGCACCAAGGTATACTATATGAACATGTCCAAGTCCAACACAAAATAGAAGGAGAAAATTCTTACCCTCAGTTTGCAGCCTATTTTCTTGTAATCACTCTTTTGAAGGCCTTTACAATCAATCCGAACCAGCTCCTCACTGAGAAAAGCATCTCGTACCATCGGTACAAGACTTCCATAGTAACCATTTTTGGCTGCATAGTAGAATACATGTCACATACCAAATCAAGATGGCCTCACCAAACAAAACACAGTTGACAAGAAAGGATACCTAGTTTTGTTAATGCAGGAACAGCTAATCCTCTTTTTCTCATCTCTTTAGTTTCCTCGATACTCAAGCCATCGATAGTAGTTTTTATAAGCCTGGGATATACAGGTTCGTGAGGCTTCCAGAGCATTAAGGGGATAACAGGTCTCTTCTTGGGATGATAATTTCTTCCTCTATAGAGCACAAGTAAACCACCATGTCTGTGGATGATTTTACCAAAAGTCTTATCCTAAATGACATACAAGAACCCACATTACTAATCAATGACACAGTAAAACATAAAAATGAAATTCAAAGATGAGTGGAGCATATCTTTTTAGAAAATAAAGCCCCTGAACAGAGTAAATAGATACCTGTTCAAGCAACTTAATTCTGACAAATAACAATAATAAGATGGGATTAAGAAGCAAATGAAGTGGATGAGATTGAATTTGGAGGACGGAGATACCTCCAGCTGAGTGCAAACATTCTTCATATCAACTGTAGGCACACCCATACATTTTATTCTTACAGCTTCAGAATGTTTCCAGTTATTATGAATATCATTCAACATGTTATGTGTTAAACCATCTCGTCCTGCAAAACAAAAATCATAAAGCCAACATTCAGATAATGTGCTATTATAATTATGTCCAGTGATATTCAACATTTTTTTCACTAGAGTAGAGAAGGTAAAAAGTGTTTCATGTCATTCTAAAGGCTAAAGCCCTCATAGCAAATGGAGGCATGTTTGCACATCACATCACTAAATTCCCAATCCATGACGGTAAGCTCTAATGCAAAAGTAAAGCATGGTTTGCATAATAGAAGAACAGAAGATGTCTCCACACCACCAAATTCCCCAGTCTATGACAGTATACTTCAACGCTAATAAAATAAGTCAAGAATGGTTTGCATTACAAAAGAAAACCAAGATGTAAAGTTAACAGGCAGTTGCATACAAGAACTTAGAACAACTGGAATTGTGATAGGAATATGTCTAGTGCCTAAATTACTAAATTGTTTCACCAAATGCCCTCTCCAAAAATATTAGGCAATCCATAACTTTTCGGAGCTACTCTGTTTTTTAAAAAACATTACTCCAGAAAAAAGCTTCAGTGATTATTATTTAAAAATCTCCAACCATATAGGATTAAAAAAGTAATCCTAATAATACATTTGATTCATAGTATCTAGATGCAGCAATACTAAAGCCATCAAAATATCAACAATGACTTCTTTGAATAACCTAATTGTGTGTGCTTGGCAAACAAGTTTCATGAAGTGGTTTAGGTTGTAATGATTCATCTTCGAGAAAAGAACAAAAGGCAAATGAAAATAAGTAGTATAATAACTCCTGAATTATCAACCTTCCTAAGTTCATTATGAAGTGATGCTTATATTCAAGTCATACATATACAACAGTACAACCAGGGCACTTCAATAAAGAATTAAAACCAAACACAACTGAGTACCGCTTTCAAGTCAGCAAACCAGCCCAATCTTTATGCAGAATTTCACTTTCAACCTTCACTTGATGCAATTACAGTATGCAATCATGTAAAGCAATACCACAAAGTCTTTGGCATAATCAAGTTAACACATGGGTTAGGTACCAATGTTTACTTTCTGAATTCTACTTAAATACTTTTGCAAAAATTGAAATGCTACATAATAACAGTAAAAGACAATAAATCAAAGCTCAACTCATCTACCAAACCTTTGGGTCTAACAACAACAGAAATGATTTTTTTTTTCAAAAAAAGTGAATACCCAAATTGACTTGCCGCTTGGTTTTATGCCTCTGACACCTTTCCACAAGAGCTTTCCTCTCCGCATTCGTTAAAGGTTCTCCTTGAATTCTGTCTCTCGCCACTCTTCTCTTCTCTTCCACGGTTTTCTCATCTTCCGGTGACCCCACTTTTGGGTCAACCACAGGTGCACACACTCCAGTCCACACTCTATCCAACTTCCCAGGCCCAAAAGGTGAGTACTTGGGCTCGCGAAGCCCAATGGGCCGCACATCCGGACTGCTCTCAGTGTAACTGAAGCGGAAGTCGAAGGGCAATTTGGACTGAAGCGGTTTCTCACCAGTCCGGTCCAGTGACGACGGCGGACGGTACCGGGGTTTGGGCTGCTTCTTGGGTGGTAACTGAGTGGAACCAGGGTTTAGGGGTTTAAGGGACGGCGGAGGTACGAAGGAATATTTTGAATAGAGATTTGAAGAAGCGGCGGCGGCGGTAGAAAAGAGGTGGTGGCGCGTGGCGGAGAGTGAGAGAATTTGGTTTTTCTGGCGGGAGAATAACCGGAGCATTGTGACGGGTCAGAGGAATTCGGGTAAATTCCCCTCCGAATATAGATGAGGTGATTTGCTTAAAAGGAGTCAAGGTGTTTTAAAATTAACAATTAAGATCACACCTTATCATTTTATTACTTTTTTTTATTTATTTGATATTCGATATTTATATTAAAATAAAATGCTCTTTAATAGAATTATTAGCTCCTAACATAAAACATCATTCAATTAACGTTTATATTTCTTATTAACCAATGTGATTTCTTGGGGGTATAAAGTTAACATCAAAGCAATTCTAAACTTATTTTTGGACCATGTATATTTACTATTAAGCTTAATCAAACATACATAGTTATAATGCTTTACACTTTAATCCAAAATTAGTTGACATTTCACCTTATTCAAGCTAGTGTTTTTCTTTACTATGTTCTAAATAAATTCAATTCAAAAGATTTATTTTTTTTAAATAGTAATTAGATTATCTTTATTTTTGGTTGTGAACCAATCGTAAGTCCTCCCAGAGGATGATCAAAAATTTGAAGTTAATAAGTTTTTATCATTATCTTAAATTTTATATATAAGCTAAATGAGTTTAATTTCCAAAAATTCGTACCTGAAGAGTTGGATTCACTCCTGTCCTATCTATCTCTTTTTAGAACCGAAAATGCTACAAGAAAACTTCTACAAAGGAAGTTAAATTTAGTGAGATAGGTTATGCTAATATTTTGTATGTACAAATCACAATTAGTATGAGATTTAGTCATAAATAATAAAGTGATTTGATATATTTATCTTTTTAAATTTACTTGTCATCTAGAATACTAGACCACTGGCATATTTGCTTCAAGGAAAAGTTTTTTCTTTAAAAGAAAGTGTAAAGTTCAGAGAAGTTGCTAGACCTTTTCTTTAGTGCAAAAGCCATGAATTCTTCCTAACTTTTTGTTTACAAATCGTATTTCCTAAGGCTATTTTTCGAAAATTAGAAACATTGTAATATACTACTAATATGTATTATTAAATTGCAAACTTTTGAGCAAAAATTTAACTTATTACATATGTTTATGTCATTTGGTTACCTCTGGATAATGGGCCATTATCACAACAATTTTTGTTTTTTGAAAATCATTTTAAACTTGAAGCTTTTTAACTTTGCTACTAATGTAAACAAAGTGAAAAACTTGCATTTAAATCCAAGTTAGCCAGGGTTCCTTGTGTATTGGCTTTTTGGATATCAGCCACTTCTTTACATGCATTACAATTACAATATAATCTCTTTCATGGATATTAATTTTATTATTTTTTGTATATCAATTTAAGATTCTTTAGTTAACTACCATTGTTGTTGCTTCCAGTAATCATTGAGCATATTGTATATGAGAATGTATTCGATTTCTAGAGTTAGTAGGTTCAGAATGAATATTTGTGTCGATATTAAAAGTTGGGGAAAAAATATTACTCCTTTCATTCTCAACTAGTTGCACATAATAATCAACCAATCTTTATCCATCTTTCTTCTAAGACAACCAATCAAAATCCTCAATATGAAGTTAAGTTAAAAGTGTCCTTCAGATGATCTTTCTTCCTCATTAATTGCTATTACCATTGTACCTAATAATACTTTTGCATGTCACCTAACCTTTTATTGTGTCTTGTGAAAATGTTGAGGAACAATCACTTCTGTTGGCTTTTATCTTATCAGCTACTACTTCTTATCTTGATCTTGAGTGGCATTGAAGCGGTTGAAGTAGATAGAAAAGAAGTACTCTTTTACTACACTAAGCTAGTACTGTGCATTTTCATAATCTTGTTTTGCTTGTGCTGATCTGCATTGTATTGCAGGACTTTTACATTGTTTTTTTGAAAGATAATCCAGCGAACGAAGAATCTGCATTTCAGAGTCATGTTGATGTCCTGTCATCTCTAAAGGGAAGGTTAGTTAAATTAGTCTGTCATTCTCTCATTTGATCCAAGAGCAATGCAGTTCTTGTAAGGAATTTTATTGACTTGTTATGGTGTAATTTGTACTAGGGATGCAACAGAATCTCATGTTTATAGCTATACAAAAATCTTCAATGCATTTGCAGCAAAGCTATCTCAATATGAAGTTCACAAGTTATCCAGTAAGTAGCTCTTTTGTTAGTCTTTGGCAAATTTCTTTGATGCTAAAAATTGAGTTCTTCTTCTCTAGGCATGGATGAAGTGGCTTCTGTCATACCAAATAGATATAGGAAGCTACATACTACAAGATCATGGGAATTTATTGGCTTGCCTGCAACAGCGAAAAGAAGATTGAAAGGGGAGAGCAACATTATTGTGGGAGTCTTCGATACAGGTTTAATATCGTTTGAATTTTTCATTTTGGCGAAGAAAATAGAGTGCAGCAATCATATTTTCTTGAAAATGTTTTGACAGGGGTAACTCCTCAATCAAAGAGCTTTAAGGATGATGGCCTTGGTCCTCCTCCAGCCAAATGGAAAGGAAGTTGTCACCATTTTGCAAATTTTTCTGGTTGCAACAAGTAAATTATACATGCCCTTGCCATCAGATTTGTCTTGCACATCATTGGCATCCATCTTGGAATCTACTTTTGTTCTAGAAGCATAACATGTAAAATATAACATAAATGACAGGTAGTTCTGAGTCACACTTAACCAACCAGCCGCGCACAGCTCAATAAGTGTGTCTGAAATTTGAAGTTAACACCTTCTTATGTTGTCCACATGGTACCCTAGCCGGTATCTGGTCCTCACATCCAGAACATGTTACTAAAAGATGTTATTGTTTGCTTTACTAGGATTGAAGACATAGTAACCTCAGCCATTTCCTTATTGCTTGTTTTACTAAAACTTTCTTTATCTGTATATCCTAACTTACATAAATGGACCTGCAAGAGATAATTTTTGTGCATGTTTTGTTATTGTGATCATCAAGCAAGCTTATAGGGGCAAGATACTTCAAGCTGGACAAAGTACCTGATCCAAATGACATAATGTCACCAGTTGATGTGCATGGCCACGGAACACATACATCATCCACCCTAGCGGGAAGTATGGTACCTGATGCAAGCTTATTTGGTCTTGCCCGAGGGACTGCACGTGGAGCGGTTCCTTCTGCTAGAGTAGCTATGTACAAAGTCTGTTGGGCGACATCAGGTTGTTCAGATATTGACATTCTAGCTGCATTTGAAGCTGCCATTATTGATGGTGTAGACATAATATCCATCTCAATTGGTGGTCTTACTGGTGGTTATACGACTGATGTGATATCTGTTGGGGCCTTTCATGCCATGAGAAAAGGGATTCTTACTGTAGCTTCCGCTGGAAATGATGGACCTAACCTCAAAACTGTCGCAAACCATGCACCATGGGTGCTAACTGTGGCAGCTAGTGGCATTGATAGGGAGTTCAGGAGTAAGGTGTTGTTGGGAAATGGGAGAACAGTCTCAGTAAGTCCTTTACCTGCCTAACAAAAGCTCGAATATGCAAAGGAGAAAACACGTCTACTGGATCACTGCTTTAGATCAAAGTTTTACGGTCTTTGGGTGGATATATTGCATTCCCTTATCATTTATGCATTTACTCATAGCAGCATTGTGCAGGGGATTGGAGTAAACGCGTTTGACCCAAAGCAAAAATTGTATCCTCTTGCGATGGGAGTTGATATAGCCAAGAGCTCCGATACTCGAGAGAGTTCAAGGTACTAATTAGGTTGCTATTAGGCATATGATCTTTCTTGGAAGTAGCCTTTTGCATAATATTATACTGTCACAGGTACTGTAGTGAAGGATCTATGGACCCTCGAAAGGTTAAGGGAAAGCTTGTTTATTGCCAATTAGGTTCTTGGGGTGTTGATTCTGTCGTAAAAGAACTTGGAGGAATCGGCACTATAATTGAAAGTGATCAGTTTCTTGATTCTGCCCCAATTTTCATGGCTCCCGCAACAATAGTTAACAGCAGCATAGGGAAAAGTATGAATAGCTATATGCATTCAGACAGGTAAAAATGTTATAACCTGTTTAGTCCATTTCCGAACCAGAACTACTGATTGTTATACTTAGTTCTGAGATGCTTTTGAAAAATGCAGATTACCTTCAGCAGTAATTTACAAATCACAAGAAGTTGAGATCAAAGCTCCATTCATCGCGTCATTTTCATCAAGAGGTCCAAATCCGGGAACAAAGCGCCTTCTGAAGGTAAATTTAGATGGAAGTCAGAGTTCATTGTTTATGTTAAAATTTCCAAATTAGCTTTCTGATGCAGCATTGTACAGCCTGACATTGCAGCTCCAGGAATCGACATTTTGGCTTCTTACACCCCCATGAAATCACTCACTGGTCTGAAAGGCGATACTCAATTTTCAGAATTCACCCTCATGTCCGGCACTTCCATGTCATGCCCTCATGTTGGTGGTGCAGCTGCCTATGTAAAGTCATTTCATCCTGATTGGTCTCCTTCTGCTATTAAGTCTGCCATCATGACTAGTGGTAAATCAACAAAATCTTGTTCTCCACTGTCATTTGGTCTAAAAATCAGTACCCCTAAGCCAAATAGATAGTGTAGCAAAAAAAAGATTAGTCCACTCGAGCAACAAATAATCTAAGACTGTAAAAGAAACAAATACTTGTCAGACTGTAGTTTCGAAAATTTTGATTCTTTTTTCCTTATGAACTTGAAGCAAGATCAATGAGCTCAAAGGTGGACAGGGAAGCAGAGTTCGCGTATGGTGCTGGACAAGTTAATCCGATGAAAGCAAGAAGCCCTGGATTAGTCTATGACATGGATGATATGGCATATATCCAATTCTTATGCCATGAAGGCTACAATTCATCGTCAGTCTCCAGTTTACTTCGACAACAGGTAAATTGCTCCACACTGATTCCTGCAACTGGCGAAGATGCTATCAACTATCCCACAATGCAGCTTGGCCTAAAGAGTGATCAAGAACCAACCATAGGCATTTTCAGGAGGAGAGTTACCAATGTTGGCCAAGCCAAATCTGTTTATAATGCAACCATCAGAGCTCCTAAGGG